TATTTTTTTTCGATATATATAATTTTTGGTTTTTTTTTTTTTTTTTTTTTTGTTTTTAGATAAATCTAACGTAGACTTAAACGCACTGCTAATGTTGCATATTATGATTAATTGAATAAATTAATATTTTATGTTTGCATGTGTACTTATGTGTTTATTTTACATTTAATATAAATAATAAAAATCTCATTGAGAACGTTTGCCTCTAATAACTGGCTACTAAATGGTATTGTAACATCTTCAAGAATTAAGTTTTATTCTCTAAACATATATCAAACTAAATGAAGCAAAATATAAAAAATTATTTTACTGATAGAACTATTTTGTTTTTAGCCAGACAATGTTTACATCATCTTGACATTTTTTGAACTTGTTTTTATGAAATAATTATGTGATAAAAATTATGTTTTCCTTATAGTATGTTAAGAATGGATTTATGCGCATTATAATCTATTGGACATTTTTTCTATTCATTCTTTTAATAATACTTTTTATACGTTATTATTTCTTTTTACACTCATACTACAAGATACAAAGAATGGTTTGTTGTTGTTCTTAATCTATGTAAACAGATACACAAAGAGAATAACAACTATTGTGTATGAATGTGAAGAAGAAAACTTATAAAGCAAATAAAATGTTTGTACAAAAAATCCGTCATGTCGTTAACAAATAAGTTGTCGCTTTTTCCTCTCTGTTTAAACAAAGTTTTTTTTTTGTGTTTACACCATATAGCCCTAATTGATTTGAAAATATGGACAAGACATACAAAAAAGACGATAAATACTTGTAAAATTGTAATGAATCCTTTTAAGAGATGAATCACATACGATATAAAGAAAAAGATAGATGGCAATAGAAGTACGGCAATGTCGCTTTATTTTAAATAAAATTTTTGCACACACATTGTATTGTATTTTTTAACATTTCTTATGTTGGTTATCAGACTATATGAAAAAATTTGATTTTGTTCCTTAACATTTCTAATATTGATATGAAAATTATCTTCATGCAATATTGCTTTTATCAAGATATCCACAACGTCATAAACTTTAAACATTGTACTATAGTCTATTATAAATAATATCATGAACAACATAGTCCATTTTATATTTTTATTATCTTTACATGATGTTTTTGTCTCATAATAAATCTTTAAAGTCGTAATAGAACACTACATAACAAGAAGATCTAATAGTTTCAATAGACGATTGTTTTCTTTTTTCTTGAATAAATGACCTTGAATCATCAATTAAACTCATTTCTTTTCTGTCTATATTCGAATTTTTGTTTTGCTCAATAAAATAACATTTTAAAAATTTATTCGATTATTTTTCTTCTCTTCTGTTTCTCTAAATGGATTTTTTTTATATAGTGTTCTTCAGCATTGAAAATCGAGTAGGTCAAAAAAAAAAGAAAAAGACGAAACATTTCGAATAAAGAGAGATAGTCCGTATGGATAATTTGAACTTTTTCATTCATTAATAAAATACAAGTAGTATATATTAAAAATAAAAGTCATAGTCATCTTACTAATAAAAATTCAATGTTTATGTTCATATAAATATGTTTAATATATTCAAAAATTAAAGATCAACAAAGCAGCTGCTTCAGTTTTCTTTGACAAATAAAAATATGTCAACAGTGTCTCATTTCATCAATGAACATCTGTTACACATACTAGATGTGTGATATGAACCGTGGTAAAATCCATCTATGATTGATCACACGTCAATTCAACTACTATAACAAAAAATAACTGTATACATGTCTCATTTACACATATTTGAGGGTTAAATGGGAGAAGAAAAAAAAAAGAGAAGAAAAGTCAACTTAACACTGTATCTTTAATTGTATGTTCATTGTTAAATGAAAGGCGAATTTCAATTAGACATGGTTCTCTTTCTTTTGTATTTTTATGATAGACTCGAGTCAAATTTGACTTTTAATGTTGCTTCAATTCATTATATATGTTTTATATATTTTCTTTTAGAATTTTTCCTTATTGAATCATCTCGTCTAAAAAGACTTCCAATTATAATTTTAAAATAATTGGGATGATGTTCATTTATATTCAGAAAAAATAACAAAAGACCAACATCATTTATGATTTTCTTTTGAATCGTACAAAAAAAAAAAAAAAAAAAAAAAAAAATTTTATATATGCATAGATTTTTTTTGTTTTTTTTTTTTTTTTTAAAAAGGGTTTTTTTTTTAAATTATTTAAGGGCGATTCAATGTGTACATGTATCTATAATCATTAGATTCTTTTTTTTTGTTCTGTTTTTCCTTTGTATATAGATGGTAAAAGATATATATATATATATGGGTTAAAATACTACTATTGCTAGTACAAGGACAGTCCTTCCTCTTATTCGGTTTGATAATTTATAACTTCTATAAAGAGAGAGATGTACATGTATATACACATCTATATATGTTGAAGAAAAAAAAACCCAAACTATTGTACTGTATATATTCGATCGTGTGTATATAAATGAAAATACTTTAAATTTAAAAATGAACATACAAATGAGGATATTCTCTCCCATATTTTAGAACTATGAATTGTATAGATAATAGTGACGATGATGATTATATTCTCAGTTATTTGGGTGAAGAAAATATGATGATGACCAAAAATGAAGGTGAGAAAAATTTATAATATAAAATAGAAAAAGCGAGATAAAAAAAAAAAGAATACCCTAAAAGAAATATGTGATAATATAACAAAGAATATTAACAAGTTAGACCTATTTGAGCAACAAGAAAATAAGATGATAATCAATTTTCAATGACATCAGTTTGATAATGATGAACAACAAAATATTGACAAAATCTAATCGACTTTTTTTTTTCGATATATCAGAGGCAATCTGGTTTTTTGAGAAAGAATAAAAAAAAAAACACGAATAGAAGAAAAATAACAACATGATGTTAGTCGATAGTTATCAATCACTTATAATCTAATCACTAACTGTCCTTTAGAAACTTTATATCGAGAAATTAATATCTCATATTTCCGCCGCTTATTTATTATTGCATGCCAAGTTTTTACAAGTTATTTTTGAGTAAACATTATTCATTTATCTTACAACAGTATTCGTTTTTTTCAGTTGACATAGATTCGTATTCTAAGATACTTTCCCATGGTTTTCATCAAATCATGAGATAACAAATATACACAAGTAAAACAGGTATACATAACGTATAGAATCGCTCAAAAAATTCTTATAATATCCAATTGAATGGTTTAAATTTATCTGAAATAGTTTCACAGTGTACATAACTTAGTCATATAAATCAGATTATATAAGAATTGTTAAGCAGAACATCTAAGAATGTTTCATATTTAGTCACTATTTCGTACATTCTAATGATTGAAGTGTAGAGAATTATTTTATTTCATTTATTGCTGGTAGTTCGTTAGTTGAGTCAATTAATTGAGTGTGATATTACTCATTGTTGTTGTACTCGAACATTGACAAAAACAAATAACTTTTCTTCCTCTTCAGTATCAATTTGACACTATTGTTCGATGTAATTTGTTATTTTGTTGAAATAAGATTTCTTTTTTCATGTTATGTATCATTTATTTGTCTCTATACACATATCATATTTTTTTTCTTTTGACATCGAAAATGTTCAGTTTCATTTTTTTTTTGTCTTCTATTTTTATACCTTTTATGTCCTTCGTAAAAGAAAAAAAAAGGATTGATTGTCATAATCCAATAAATCGATATTGAGATGTTTTCGATGTATTGTTGTAATATGGAAAAGAGGCTTTAAAGATAAATATCTATCCGAGAGCTCATATGTCAATATATGATTTGACCTTAGTAAATGTCATATTTGATATATTCAACGCTAATAATATCAGTCTAATGATGAGATATGCAGTAAATTTGTAGAAGACACTCAAAATCTAAATCTTTTGCTAAATTCTGATAGTTTTAAATGATAAATAAGTGATACAGTATTTTAATATATTATCAGGTGGCACAGTATAAATTAGACTGTTTGTATTTTTAATATTTCTTCTCTATTATTTCATTTATATTTCTTCATACTTCTTTTTACCAAATGATTCCTTGTTGCATTCTCTACAAAATCTGTATTAATTGTTTTATTGGAAAATCGGAAGATGTAAAATGCCGTGAGAATTTGTGTGAAGTACCAACATGTAGAAAAAATAAACGAAGTTACATTTTTTTTCAGTATTATCTGCTAAAAGTTTGCGAAAGAGAAAACCTGAAGTAACCAGCATGTACGCCTCGAAAAGCTCTATTTTCCAAGTATAATTTAAATAATTTTCAGCTAGAATTAAGGGCGCAAGGATGTCATTATTTTTTTGCTAATTTTTCAAAAAATGACCATTTTTCACCCATAATTTGAGCCTTCCAGTAAAATACATAAAGCTCAGCCAAATTTGATCCATTCAAGTTGGTTTTTTTAATTTTGAAAACAAATGATTAGTCGTTATGATCGTATCTAAGATTTGGAAAAAAAAATTGTTTTATTCCACCGCACAAAAAAAAAGGTAACAACTTTTACCATTTTCACTTGGTTGCTGAGAAGTTAATCTTTGCGTCGGATATTTAGATTCAAACGATTTTCGCTCTACACAACGAGAAAGAGTGTATTTGAAACTACACAAAACTGTACTGAAACTGTGTTTTAATGCTTGTGAAACTAATCGAAAAAATTTCGCTCTCTTTACGAAAAACATTTTGGTACTTCACACAAATTCTCATGGCATTTTACATCTTCCGATTTTCCAATAAAACAATTAATACAAATTTTGTAGAGAATGCAACAAGGAATCATTTAGTTAAAAAAAGTATTTAAATCAAGTGAAGGATAGAGAAGAAATATTAAAAATACAAATAGTCTAATTTATTCTGCGCCACCCGATACTTGCAGTACTTAAATAAAATGTTTGAGAACTGAAGATTTGCCATATTATAGACTCAGGAAAAAAAGCTTTTGTACAAGGTCAACAGAGATCAAAAATTACATATTCACCAAGATTAGAAGAATGACGTCAATAGTAATTGGTTGTATATAAACCTTGGAGGATGATTCTATTGGAAATTTACGTTAATTATGTGTGTGTGTATGCCTTTCAGGATCGTTAAACATTTACAGGAAATGAAATATTCTATAGAAGACCTCAATATATTGATGAATACCACATGAGGAAAACGAAAATTTCAGATTGTCTGTAGAGAGGTCGCTGAACCTACGGGAAATACGAGTTTCTGGTAGTACTAGATCGAAAGCATTTTTATATCTTCTCATCGAACAATTGGAATTCAAGGAAATCAAAAATCTCATGATATTTCTACTGGAAAATAAAAGGGGTTTTTGAAAGATGCTAATCAAACCGTTCAATTTACTTTTGTGATAATCGAGATCAAATACCTAAAAAAATATGCTACATCGTCCTTCGCTTATTCTAACTAGTCTTGTGATGCGTGATTAAAAGTTGAAAAAAAATAACGCAGATGACTTCTGAAAATAGTAAACCTGTGTGACAAAACTGAATGTCAATAAACATTCATTCATGTAGTAGTGCTTGAAAAATCGATTCAAACGCATTCATTATTGTTCAACTTTCATTTGATTTAAATGCAAATTTACACTTTTTATATAGAGCACATTTTTAGTAAAACAAAATCATTTATTTTTTACCTCTCTCGTGACACGTGTCTTCATAAAAATAATATGAGTTTTTTTACGATTACGAGTTTCGAGCGATCAGACTTCTTTCGATTGTCATAACGTGATTTCTATCTATTATTTGTTAAGATTATATCATCGTCAATTTTTCTATTTTCTCCTAGTTTCTCATCTATTTAGTTTTGAATTTACTAACCTAATTCTTGAAAATAGAAAAGATTTATAAAAGTTGATTAATATGACGATCTGAGAGAAATATTAGAATCCTGACCGCAGACCAAAGGAAACTAATTATCTAAACCGTTGTCTAATAGTGAAACTACTAAATCAAAGAGAAAGGTACGATAATAACACTAAATGTGATTTGTTTTGCTAAAATAACCAAGTTAAATTTAGACTAATCTGTAATACACCATATTTTTCTTCAAGAATAGGATAAAATGAAGACAACATAAAAAAATTATCATTAGAAGCTTAACATGGGTAATACATTCTGAACTCTTATTTGGATTAGTGCATATGAATGTTACAAAGCTGAAACTATAAATTCGTATTTTTTTAAGCTTTTTCATTAGGTAGATCGTTTTAAGAAACAGAAACTTTGATTTCAGATACTTTTATACCTCTTTCTTTTCTTACTTAGCTCGACATGGGACCAGAGTTGATCTCAGATAAATTGACGTAAAGTTGATATCTTCTCGTATATGTGTAAGTATCACCACTAGGGAAATCACCGACGTATATAAGCAATACGTTTGGGATTATGGAGGATTAGAATCGTAAGATTTTGATAATCGATATCAGTTTTTTATGTATTTTCTCTTCCAAAACTGATAAAAAAAGAAAGTACTTTAACTTTGAGACAATGCAAACTCGAAGAGATCATTTTTCACATTCTCAATTTGCTGTGTACTTACCTTGGCGTTAAGTATAAGTATAATTTGTTCAATTTCTATCATTTTTTCTTAATGTTTAACAATTTGGAGAGGCTTCCTGTAATTATGGTAGATTTTTAGTAGACCATGTTTAGTTCTTTCATCTAGTGTGTTTTTATTAGGTTTCTGTACTATGAATATATACGTTGTTATTTGACGTTTTATTTTTATTAATCTATTCTGAACACACTCTTATTTCGAACGTAAGAGTAGATCCTCTGAAAAGTATATTGATCGATGCATAGTTACGTTTGCTTATTTAGAAATATTTCATTTTCATTTGCAGACCTTTTTATATTCTGACATTGATCGCTTATCGATTTAATAATATTTGAACCAGAATTTCTCTTCTATTCATGCAGTAAAGTTTTATTTTTTGAGCAAACATGTACATATTGTCTGTTAGTGTTCTTTTTATTAGACCTAAAAATGTGTAAATTCCATTTATTATTACCCTTTTTCCTCTTTCAATTTCTTTTTTCGTGCGTTGTACACCAGTTACATATTGCATGTCTTTTTTTCTATTTTCTTCAGACGATATGGATCGGCCACATATCAGTCTATACGATCGGGTGAGTCATAAAGAAAGAGACTTTTGCATTTCATTCTAATAGTTCCAAAAGTCCATATTCTAGCTTTTTAATATACAGATGATTTCTCTATATGCAATATTCACACGTTGTTTCATTATCTCAATAATTTATACCGAGTGAGAATAGGTTAGAAGCACAACTACGACAGAGACATTCAGTCAAATTCTATTGAGTTATTAGCTTTCTACTTCCCAAACATATGAAGACTAAGCGAATAGATGGCATAGATATGTTCAATGAATTTAGAAGTATCTTTCATGTAGAACGCTTGTTCATACGACAAGCCGCAAAATGTTAGTATAGGAGAAAATTTTGCCGTTTTAAGTGGTGGTATGTTTGAAAATAAGTAGGAACAAAGTAGTCAGAGAGTACGGTAACTGTTCAGTACAACTAAATTACCACCTATTTCTTTCTCCATTGCAGTTATGCTTATTACCTGTTCTCTGTATTAGTTTTTCATATATTAAAACAGCAGACGAATATCAGACATACAGAATCTTGTTGACTAGAAAATGTTGTCGTTTTTAGAGGCTTTTGGAACTGAAAATAATGAAATTTACATCGTGTCTCATTCTTTGTGGTCCAATCTTTATATCCCTATACATCTATATATACGGGTTCTACGATAAATGAACATTTTGTATCATAAAAATTTATATACAACTAGTTGGTCGAATCCAATATAAATGTTTCGCTGATATCTTTCTCTTTTCCTCTTCACACAACATTCATACCTTGAACAACATGATAGAACAAAAAGTACTTTAGGTTATTAGAAATATCATAAAAATAATTTTTGAGCAAACCGACTATTACCGTTTGATTGAAAAAGTTAATTAATACAAACTACTAAACTTTCCATTATTTTTAATCAACAAGAGGATTCAATTTTTCTTTTATACTAATTCAATTTTCTCATATTTTTTTGTCCCATTAGAGAGAAGGAGAGTGTTGAGAACAATTATTTCGAAATGAAAGCGGTTTCTTTTATTGATTGTTGTGGGTAAGTGTTATTTCTAATGGACTGTATCATATCAATTCACTTAAAGCGATAGTTTAATATAGCCTCTTTGCTTGAAAACTATCTTCATACAAGTTTATTAATATGTACCAGAGGTATTTATTTCAAATCAGATGGCACTTGTTATCACGATTTTTTTTTCGTCTAAATGATGATTACATCATTGAAAAATGTCTTGTTCTTGCTTTTTCTGACATTGTTTGGTTAATACCATTTAATTTGATTTTGTCTTTTGACAAGAAAAAAAAAGGCCCAACTTCTATTCTAAAATAAAAACAATTTTAGTAGATTTGTGAAAAATAAAACGCGATTTCTAGTTACATAAGATATCAATAATCTATTACAGTGATTATTTCAAATTAAATAAACGCAACGCTAAGAACATAATACAATTGTGTGTAAAAAGTAAATCGTTTTGGATTATATATTTTAACTACTACACTATTGACTTATTAAATAAGCACATACACGCACACAGACACACACATACAATCGTGTTAATTGAATTGTTTCAGGTTCGTCGTCAGATTTTTTATTATTACTCGAAAATTTACTCAAACGAAGTATACCATCGCCAACAAAAATTATTTCATCATCGAAAAATACACATTGTCTAAGACGTTGTAAAAGTGACGAACTCTATTCGAAAAAACATAATCAAAATATACGAAAATATGAACATTCATCATCATCATCATCTTCCGCAGCAACAACAAAAACAAAATTTAATTTAACCAATATTGGTATAGATGACGATAATAATTTGATTATTGACGATAGTGATATTGAAAATGATGATCGATCAATCGAATATCAGGAAAAAGAAAGAAGTCGTTCAGCACCAAGTAGTCCAACAAAAGTGTTTGATGATGAATTAGCAACATTTTTACAATGTGATAATATGACAACAAAATCACCAGGATTCATTTATAATATTGATTTATCTGATGAAGCAGTGACAATATTAAATACACATCAAGAAATCAGTGACAATAATCGAATAACAGTACATTTTGTAAGTTATTTTATTTTATTTTATATGTACTATGACAGTAGATTTAAAAATTTAACATTATATAAGAACTAGTTTTTAGCATGGAGATAAATCTTTTTACGAATAAGACAATAGATGATCTATGTCATAACCTTCTTTTCTTTAATGATGAATTTTGAGATATTTTTAATGATCTGTTATTGTTGTCTATAGATAATCTCTTATCTATGACAATATTCTAAATAAATTGTATTGAAAAACAATTAGTGTCTATATCATCGATTAAAATACTGACATTTAATTTATCTTTGTGTTAATGAATGACATATTCAATTTAAAAAAAATCAAAATGTCAAGTTTTTAGTATTATTTATGATTATAATTTTTTTTTTGCTTTTTTTTTCTTCTAGAACGACAGTTCCGATGAAGATGACAATGACACTAATTACCCGAGTATTACACACTCACCGGATATAATACAACTAAATACAACAACAACAACAAATTGTTTAACCATTGAAGAAGAAAACGAAGAAGAATTAGAACAAATAAAACGTGAAGAAGAAGCTGAAAGGTTGTCGTTACAAATACAACAAAACGAAGAACAATTCAATAATGAATTAATTGAAGACAATGAAAAACAACAACAACAACAACAACAAGCGATAATAATTAAAGATAATGACGACCGAGCTGATTTGTTAGAAACTAATTTACAAATAGAAAAAACAATGAATAATTTTATTGTTTATTCATCACTTGATGATAATATCGGACGTTTATCAACGATTTATGAGTCAAATCAAGAATTGCCAATCTCAATCGAAGCACCTAGTACAAAACTTGAACATCAACTTGAACTAGACAATATCGATGATACTGACGATAAATTAATTGTTTATGACAAACATATTTTTTTTCCTACAGAATCGAATCGAGAATATTCACCATCATTGCTGATTTCAACAACAAATACCGACAATACTACAATAAATAAGATAATCAACGAACATAGAAAAGAAGAAAATCAGCAGAATGGAATACAAGTAAGATTCTGCTATTTTTTTTTTATCAAGACGACAGCTTAATATTCTTGGCTAATGAAAAAAATTAGGTTATGTGTATTATGTGAGCGACATATGTACTCTTGAATGAATTTCGGATGCAATATGACCTGATGGTTTTAATAAGTGAATGATAATTAAAAATTGCCGTACATTATTGGAAAAAATAGTCATAATTGGAGTCTTTTGGGCTCATGAGTGTCACCTAATGCTGAGATAGATAAGGATGAAAATATCATAAGCTATTTGTTTACAAAAAATGTTTTCCTGTAAAAACAGATCTCTTTGTTATCATAGGCTATATATGAAAAGTACTTAGACTACAACGATCATTCCTATGAAAAATTTTGTCTATGAGCCTCTACTGTCTGTGTTTTGGTTGTTGTAGCCAAACTCTCTGTGGAGCTATTATAGCAAGTGGTTGTTTCTTTAATAACTCGACAACGATAAGTATTACAGATCTGCGGTTTTCAGCAATCGCAACTAGAGGATTGCAGCTAATTTCCCACAAACAAAAGTTACTTTTTAAAAACTTTTAAAGACCAGTTTTTCAGAGAATCTTAGAAAACCACCTCGGATGTCTGGAAATTGGTATAATAATACCGTTTTTTTTCATAGATAGATACTCTAAAGTATTCTCTACAAAAACGGATCTAAGCAAAAGGTTTATTTTGCTTAGCCCAGGTGAGCCCGAGGTTTTCCTCGAAGCCTTTGGACTGCTTTACCAATGTGTCTGGGAACCTTAAAAATACATGGAAACATAGGTTATCCACTATGCTATATCTCGTGGCAACATTTGTTTTTCAAAACAGTTTCAAAAACTTAGTGAAAACGTATGTTAGATGAAATATTCCATTTTTGCCTATTTTGAGTAAAATCAAAAAATTCATAACCCAGTGAAGATCCATCCGAATTATGTCAAAATACCAAGATGTGCTCTATTGGATGGATCTAGACTAGATTATTAATTTTATGATTTTACTTAAAAATAGGCAAAAAAAGTTTTTAAAAAGCAACTTTTGCTTGTAAAAAATTAGCTGCAACTCTCTAGTTGCGATTGCAGAAAACCACAGATCTCTAACACTTATCGTTGTCGAGTTATTAAAAAAATAACCACCTGCTATAATAGCTCCACAGAGAATTTGGCTGAGTGATCTGCGAATGGTTTCTATATACTGAGCTATTTTAAAAAATGTTATAGTAAAAATATCTTTTTGTTCTTTAGAGTGTCCAAGATCTAAAATCAGACGCAAAACATATGTCTTTACCGATGATTGATCGTAGTAAAATTCATACATGTTATCCGAATGCCTCAAATGTATTTTCATCGGATTCTACTACTAGCAATTCATCCGGTTTATCATCATCATTTGTCAGTCGTCTGTGTGGAACATCTTCAGCTACGCCTACTCCTTATAAGTCCGTTACTACTTCTACTACAACTACGCACAATATGTATTCAGATTTTCCATTTAAACATCAGCAACAGCAACAGCTATCGTCAGATGATACTAAATTAAATTTAAAACAATCATCTAGTCATGAGCAACAACAAAAACAATTAAAATCTTCGTCATCATCACCCATTATTAGTTCAAAAATTCGCCAACCATCAAATTCTATCATGATCTATTCCAAATCTCAAGTGATAAATGTTAATGATGGAGAAAAAGAGTATTTTCATGATAATCAACCAAACTCTATATCCTTATCTGTACCGTTGTTATCAAATTCGACTATATTAAATGGAGTCATCCTATCAACCGATGAAAAAAAAGATGAACAAGTAACGAATAATAATCACGTTATTAAAATGAAAATGATCCAGTCATCCTCATCATCACTATCTGATTTTATTGTTCAAACAAAAATAAGTAAGCAATTTGATCAGTGTCGATTACGTAAAGTTTAAAATTGATAATATCTATTAGTCAAGTTGTAATTCTTTTGTTTTCTCTCGTTCAACTAAAGAAAGGAGAATGATAAAAGAACAGAAACCCATTAATAATTTTATTGTTCAAAAACACACTCGAAGCGTTTGCATTGTAGTTACGAAAGTCTTTAAACTGTTTTTTTGTTTAAAACAAAACCTCAAGAAAAACAATAATAAATCATTTTCATTTTAGCTCAACAATCAAATATCAATTCTGGTGCTCATTCACTTAATGATTGTTCAACTGCCATCGATAACCCTGTGCAACCTTGTTCTTTTCGTGTTCCACAACGTTCAAATGAACGACGTCCATCTAATCGTATATTAACAAATGGTTTACTCAATTGTTCTACTATAACACCTATACGATTAAAACATCCACAACAATGCATAACTATGACTAATAATAATAAAAATAGTTCATCATCTGAAAATGGATTTTTAACAAAGAGTGAAGAATCATTGAAACCTATCGTTCTTGATGAATTAACAAAATCTTCGTCTTCCTCTTCGTCATCACCATCGAATAAAATAATGTCACGTTCAGATTTTGTTATTGCGTCTCGAATGCCTAACTCTTCTCAATATCATCCATGGATGATTACATCATTATCAACAACAAAACAGAAGGTAAAACAATGTAATGAATTAAATCAACGAAAATCATCTAGTTTAAAAAATGTTTACTCCACAACAACAAAAGCTAACACCATAACAAACAGCAACAACCATCATCATCATCATCATCACCATCATCATCATCATTCAACAAATAGTGGCATTCTATACCCAATTGATTATGAGAATAGAATCGATAATAATGATGAAAATACAAATATGATATTAGATTTACACTGGTTAAATAATAATAATAATAATCAAACGATGAATTCATCACAGCAGAAAATGCCAACATCATCCGATTCAGGAATTGTTACTGATCATCGAGAAGAAGAAACATCATCAGGTGGACACACTGGAAAATATTCAACCGGTTCAAGTATAGACGTAATTAAACTGTTTACTATAAGACATCGAGTTTACATATTTCACTTGTTCTCCTTTACATCGTCTACGATGCTATGAATAAGAATCACCATCACATCATCTTCTGATTTTCTTTCGTTCTGTTCAATAGTTAAAAAGGTCATCGTGAAGAGTCTATTCTGTTTTCTCACAGAATGAGTGAATTATGGCAATTTGTACAATAGAAAATGATGATGAGAACGTAGTCATCATGTTATCAGATACATTATAAACATCTGAGAGAAGCGGACAAGAAAAGAAAAGAAATCGTTTTTTATCAAATTTCCGATGAAGATAAAGTAAAGGATAGAGCAAAAAAAAAAAAATTGAATGACGGTCGGACGACAACAACGATGATCTCTTATCTCGTCATTATTAAAAATAATGGTGAAGACAAGCGAGTCTTTCTTTCGCCCTTGAATCATTTTCTCACATTAATTAACGATCTTTGTCGTGTTCTCTTATTCTCAGTCAAGTGTGTAGAAGAAAAAACCTAGGGACAATGACCTCTTCTAAAAGAAGGATCACACAAGGAAAGAAGAAAATAAGAAAAAACTCTTTTTCTCTTTCTCCCTCTCTTTTTGCGTGTGTATATGTGTGTGTGTGTGTGTCGACATCACACATTTCTATCCAATTTTAGGACGATGAAAGTTTTTCATTATTAAAACAATACAATTTGGAATATCAAGAAACAATTCAACATTTGTCGATTATTAAAAAAGCAATTGTTGATATTGAAGGAAGATTAAACGAAACAATGAGAGAAGTAAGTTTAGAAAAATAAAAATTTTTAACAGAAGCAGACAATTTGTTTTAGTTTGTTCTGCAAAATATGTTATTTTCTCATAATTTAGTAGATTCACTCAACAGATAGCTGCACACATTAGACTAATTTTTGATGTTATGATGACAAATTAAATAAATAACTTCAGTGAGAGAGTGAAAAAAATGTTATTTTATTACGACTTTCCAAAATTAAGTTTCCTTGAAAAATGCCAAGTGTTTTTCTCCAAGTGAGATGATAAGATCAAGTTTTCATCTTTGAATCAGTAGATCTTCTTTTTTTCGTTATCTATGGATGATAAACAGCAGGAATAACCGCATTCGATCGCAGTTACTCAAAAATATATTATTATTATAACATTATCGCTGCGTGTATAATTAAAACAAAAAAAAAAGGCCAAATATGTATAAGTTTGATCTTTTCCTTTTGTTTTTTCTTCTTATTCCTGATCTGGTAGTTGGTCATTAGTGATTACTCATTGTCTTTTCAACATTTTTGTGTCCTTCTTTTGTTTCCGTTGATGATAATGACAATACGTGATACTGAGAGGTTAATGCATCTTCATTGTGTATCATAACTGTCACCATTTATCTAACATGATTTTAATCTATTCTCATCCGATCATTTATCCTCTATTTTCATTATTAATGAATTAATTAAATGTGTCACAGAATTTACGTTCTTTACTAGTACATTTTTTTCACGTCACCTGGTCAAATCCTAGATAGACGTGAAGAGTTTTTTGTTTTCATAGCATATCAATTCTTTTCTATTTTTAATTTTGAGATATTGATGGTTTTTTGTCAAAATAACAGATGTTAAGTTATTTGAGAATAGTTTAATTAGTTTTTGCAAATTTTCTCCATGTATATATATATATATATATAAATATATGATGTTGATCAGAAAAGACACTGTATAAGATAACAGAAACTATTTAATTGTGCCTACGTATACATAAAGTTCTCAACGAGTATTGTGTTTTTTTGCGCGAAGGACCAAATGGATTAGGTAACTCACGATATTTATAGCATATTTAGACATATTCTAATGATATAAATAATTGTCATATGTTATATCCTATTCATACGATAGCTAAAAAAAATAACAGAGAGAAAAGTAAAGTGAAATTATCAGACAGATAATTGTTCAACGTTTATAAATAAAAGAGATCACCACATACACACGTATATCTGCATAAATAAAATATAAAACACCGTTTTACTCAAAAACATTTAGTTTTCATCATGTATTCAAAAATTGGGTGTGCCGTAGAAATATCGAATGTAAAAACGTCGAAAACTAAATATCGAATGGGAAAAATATCGAAAAAAGTGATATCACTAGTAAACGCAGACTGTAAGCCTCTGTAGTTTATTGTTGTTTTTCTAACATTGTTATAAATTTCATTTCTTATTGTTTTCCGTTAAAAAAGTTGTCTATTATCATATTTATTATGTTAATTATATTAAAAAAAGTATTATACCAAAAATCAAAGATGTGTGGAATTTTCTAAAGAGCTTCTCGACATTTTTCCACTTTGACATTTTTTTATTTCGGTATTTTTTCACTTCGATATTATTCCGCTTCGATATTTCTACTTTCGACATTTTCGACATTTTTTCTTTCGACATTACTACGGCCAACCAAAAATTGCATACCGTCGTCACACTATCTCAACCAAACTTAATATCGACAAGCAGTGCAGCTTTCTTTTATCAACCTAATATAATATCGAATATTGTTTCAGTTGTTCTATCGACTATAACACCATCATCATCATCATCATCATCATAGATAAAAAACACAGCTTTTTTTAATAATACAAATATTTTCTATCATGTCGCCTTATACAGTTTCTAACGATAATAAAAATAGTCATTCTGAATCAAAATTATTTCTATTTCCCCTCGAACGGCAACAATTACAACATATTTTACATAAACAATCAATCAATTTTGTTTAAACTATGTTAGACAATAGTAGACCATAAAAAACCATTATCCTCAAAACGTTTATATGGGATAGTACATTTAAAATTTCCAAACATCATTTTGCTATGATGATTATCATCTATTATCATTAAATAGTCATAATAGATCAAATTATTCACTACTAGATACATCATCAATATTTCACTCACCGATATAACTCATTCTATTTCTCTATTCCAACAAATTTAACGAAAGGTACATTTTTATTAAAACGAAATTATTCATTAAAGAGTAGTCACCGACAACAACAACAACAACAACGGGACAATCAATTTTATTCACAATTAAAACGATCACTATTGTTGAAAAAAGAATATTCAAAATTTGTTAATTTGAAACGTATTCAGCATACAGTGACGAATGAAAACGAGATAGGTAATGGTGAAAAAAAAATAAATCATCATCAAAATGATTGGCAAGGATTTAATTCTGTTCATTGTAATGTATAAGTGTTGTGCGTATATGGTAGCACATAATACGTAATAGTTCTGACGACCACAGGGCTACTTTATACGTTGTCAACAATGATGAGATGAGTTTATTATATCCACTTTCTTTTAGAGAGAAAGAGAGAGAGAGAGAGAGACAGAGAAGTTGATGATACTATATCTCGATATGTTTGACCACTTGATTTGTATTATATCATTTCTTTTTGGCATTAACGTGTCTAATATTCGTTCTATAAACATCCATCATGTTGATAATCATCAGTAACATATATATTATCTCGTTTTAATGTTGGACAAAAGCATTCGTCGTATGATGAAAATTATATTGATTAAGCAGTTGATGGATTTTTTTAAAAAATGTTTTCTAGAATTTGGATACAGGTGTACAAATTTTTTAGTCTAAAATTGTCTATATATTCTCATGTTATTTTTTTGAGTACAATATGCCTAAAGATCTTATTTTTTAATTAAATATTATAATTTTTTGACAAACTTTCACTATATTGAGATGTTGATTTTCATTGCTCACATAATAGATGTTAAAACAATATTGTCTTAACCCAGTAAAGTTGAGAGAAGACAGACAGTAAAAACTTGATTTTCTCAAGTTCTTTTTAATAAAATGCTTCAATAATATTAAACATTCTCTCTCTCACTCTCTCTTTCTCTCTTGCAAGTATTCATAAAGTTTTGTATTTTTTTTTTTCTTCATCTCTTGAACTGTACAATTATGTAGTCTGCTTCCATAACAATATGCATTACCTTCTAACATTACACTCATAATTTCTATATGTATATACATATTGATGACTTGACAATCAGAAATATCATTTGGATAGTTTTTGTTGCATGTTGCCAAACTAATAATAATCATAATCGCTGCACATACACTATCCATCTGTCAAGAATAAAATTTATTAGATGAACTGTGTGTGGATTCTTTGTCTTTTCTTTCTATTTTTTTTTTGCGCTTGATAGTAAAAATAATAAGAGTATATAGAAAAAGAAGAAGAAGAACAAAAAAGTATCAGAGAAGCTAGTACTACGCTGTTTATTGTCTTCTTTTTTTTTTTTGACCAATACTGCTACATATTGATCAATATGGAAAAGTGAGTAAAACAGTCATTATATTTAATTATTTTTTCTACTAGTTAATTTAGTTTTTTTTCTTCTTCTAAACTACCGTCTCTGTTTGCTGGGGAACAAACATATTGGTATTTTTTTAAGAAAGTCAGATGCGTTATATTCAACAGTTGTCGGTACATTTCTCTTCTCATATATACTTTATGAATTTTGGAATATATTTCGTATAAGTCGTATAAATAATTTTGAAATAATCCTTATTCATCTATTTTTTTTTAATTTTCAGCTTGAAATTGAGCGTGCTCTAATTGAAGGTGAACATGAAATATTGTTTAAACAAATAATTGATGCATCAGATGGTGATCAACGAAAAATACGTCAATTATATAATGAATTACAATTATTGTTAGAAAAAGTGATGGGAGATAAAAATGCAGTAGGTGTAGTAGTGAGACGAATCATTGGCAGATATTATTTATTATTATTATTTTTTTCTTTACAAGATTCGTAATGAAATTGATCGTACCCAACAAACATTATATAATCTTGAACAAGAACTTCAAACATTAGAACAATGTTTAAAGTCGAATTCATCTCATCATGATGATGGTTTATTTGATAAAATACTTAAGTATGGGTGTTAGATTACATTCATTTTTTATATTAAGCCTTTCTTGTTTTTTTGAATATTAATTTGTAGAAAAAAAGAAATGATTGAAGAAACAAAGAAAAAACATGAAGATCTTGAATTTCAATTAATGGAATTAGAAACTAGATGTGAAGCAGAATTAGAAGAAGCTGAAGAAAATTTTAAAAATGAACAAGAAATTGTACAACAAAATTCAAAAATACGACAGGTAAAAATTAGCAAATCTATATGTATGATATAATTTAAATGAAAATTGTATATGTATTAAAGAATAATCTCCGTGATCTTGACCATCAACAACATATTATATTACAACAAGTAACTGTAGAAAAAGATAAATTAGAACGTGAAAGACAAAAATTAAAACTATTATTTAAAAAGGTATATAATAATTGTTAGTGTATCATGAAAAAAAAGACGAATTTTTATTTATTTTGTTAGAAAAAATTACATGCTGACGATATTGAACAAAAGCTTACCAAATTAAGTGATGCATTAACAACAACTACAACATCGGTAACAGATGATAATCACCATCGTGTAGTAAGTATTAGACGAATATACAAAAAATTGCAAAGTATATGAAATGTTCTTATTTTGTTTTGCAGAATGATAATAATCATACTTTAATGACGAATGGCAGAGAGGATGATCAAGAAGATCTTAGAAATACCAAAGGTTCATCAACATTAGGAAAGAATAATAAAAAATCTAGTCATTATCAAACATTATTTAATGGAAATGAGGATTATGGAACAAATAATAAGAATGGTAAATGTGCGAGAAATGTAATTTTATAAAATATGAACTTTTACAACAACTTTTTCTGTTATTAGATATACCTCCTTCGTGGCATACTAAATCGCTGATGAATGGTAGTACAAATAACGATTCATTATTTAATAAAACACATCCGAATGATATCTATAATACATTGTCGATAAAATAACAATGTATATGTCTATTTACTATAGAATGAGAAATGATGAATATGTCAATAAATTGAATGAACTGAAAGAAATGATATCTGTGGCTAAATTAGAAAAAATGACCATTTTAGAACAACAGGTAAATGAGACAAATATCTAAGTATTTTTCTTGCTATTTTTATGATTATTTATTCTTTTTTGTTTCAGTTACGTGAAAGATATACGGAACTAGTTCAGTTTCAAGAAGAACATACTAAACGATTAGAATTAGAGAAAAAATTAGCTGATGAAATGAAAAATAGAGATTATCTTGTTGAATGTCAAGTGAAATTGCGAGAAAAAAACCGTGTACAGGTAAAATGTGTAGAAAAAGAATATTTGTGAAAATGCGGCTACTACTAGTAGTATTCGAATGTGAGTTAACTAAAAGATGATGGAACGTTTGAATATTTATGTTAAATATTATTATAGATCTACATCTCTGCATAATTTCTTTATATTAATTTGTACATTTTGCTTTAGGAGCGTCCATTAACTCGCTATTTG